CAACAGCGGGTGGTTCCTAGATCATAATTTAAGAATAAATAATGAAGAGATATTGAATTACAAGGCTGCTCAACAAATTAGTCAATATGTTTAATTAATTACAAGTCTCTTGAATAAGTACTAATTAGCGCTAAATATGAAAGCATCTAATACAGTAAATATGGATTCAATGCATACATTTGCGTTTTATAGTCCGACTTCGAGCAACTCGTCCACTAGTCATTTGAGTCAAGGTCTTCGTATTCTTTGCCAAACTTTTCATCTTTTGGCTGTCGCGGTTGGCATTGACATCGTCACTAAAAGTACCACAGCAGCTGTCGTTTCTGACTTTGTGGTTGGCAAAAGTGGCGGTTTTCAGACCTGAGAAAATCCGCGGACGCACAACTTGCCGCCGTCCCCGAAAGTAGAGGCGCACGCCTGGAAAACCTTGGTCGCTTAATCTAAGAGGAGTTGAGCTGGTAGAGGAGATAGGGACTGCAGACTCTTCATCTTTAATCAATGCTCCACATTCGGGAACAGTACTAGATATCGCCAACCTATGTAATGGACAGTCCTGATCAGGCATAACAGGGCATCCATCGGGAGTGATTGATGTTGTATAAGGAGCCTTGGGGGGCCGGCGAATAGAACGCGTGTAGCTACTGAGTAAGCCTGTAACAAGATTTGGAACCCGATAGCGTTGCGTTTTACTGGTATGAGAAAATGTAGGAGAATCGGTAGTTGGCTGAGCCTCATCATGATGGCAAGAGGCAGCACATTTGGTAATGGTCATATTCGAGGTAGAAGCCCTAGATGAACAAGGATTCTGCGAATTCCCGAGCGCCTTTTCATTGTCTATAGGGCGAGATTGATAACATTCTTGGGAGTCCGGAACCGTAAAATCGACTGCAACATTAGAAGGCGAATGGGGTTTTAAAACAAGGGGCCCCGGCCAAGCAGAAGGATTGAATGGTACCAGAACCATGTGTTCAAGGTCGATTTTAGGCTGGCAAAAGACAACTCGGGTCCTGTGACACCGGTGTTTACAACGCCTAAAATCCAGCTCAGAGTGCTTAATGACCTTATGAGGCCGAGCGTGGCGATTTCGTTGATTTGCGTGTAAATTGCGAGGATAATTAAGACGTCTAAGATGTTCAACTTGAAGTCGGCCATGGGAAAGATTACGTGTGTGAAGATACTGTGGATAAGTCACAGCAACAGGATCAGGAGCCACAGATCTCAAGATGGATTGGTCAGTCAAAGGCCACATCCGGCCAGTTGGACTTTCACTTGACTTCCGTATAACTCTATATTCAGGCCTATGGCCTACAGTTCGCCCTCGTTGATTGATATCTTGCCTCAGTCGAGTGAAATTAAAGCTTGGTAGACTTTTCCACTTGCATCTCGAGAAGTGAGAGCTGTCTTCACCGTCTTGTCCTCTATTATCCAAGCCACATTCGTGCGAAAATGAGCAATGACTGGGAAAGCGGACAGGATAGCCGAGTTTACAGTGCCAAGAGCAAAAAGAGCATGTGGAACAGTTGATAGAATCGTGTGAGTCAAAGCTGGATAAACTAGGAGTGCTGGCCATGCACGAAGCTAGGCTTGCTTGATCTGAGGTGCCCGGAAGGTCGATTGAAATACTGCCTTGTGAGTTGCAGCGGTAGATTCGACGACGTCGTTCTGAACCTACAGTAGGCAAAATTTTAAAAATTCGAATAAAGATGGAGAGATCGGATGCAACTTGAAAATATGGAGATAGTGGAATCAGGCTTCCCCTGCAACAAACTTTAAGATAGAATAATTTAGTCTATAGACTAATTTTTGTAATATTCCCAGTACTTTATACACTGTATTCTGTATTCTATGATGAACAAAAACAATTTAATGCATAATGAAAGCAAGACTATCCCATCTCATAAATCACAAAATGAGCAAAAAGAGAGTCGTGCAATCATTGAGACATAATAAATGGGAAATTATCGTTTTAAGAAGTCTTAATTTGTTCAAAAAGTTTCAAAGCCACAACTGTGTGGAAAATGTCTGGCCTTGTCCAAGAGCTTCCTAAGCGAGCGCAACATAGAAAAGAACCATCTTTAGTCATGTAATAATAGGCCTATTTGCTTAGTGCATCATCGAATAATAAAAATCAACGAAGTTCCAC